AGGATGTATCGTTTATCAGGTCTCTGTTTGGGATATAGTATAAAGGACTTGTTCGTGGCTTTTGACTCACCTTTGCTAATATTTTTTCAGGTCCTCGTCAATACTAAGCGTAAAGTCAATTTTTTTAAAGTAGAGGCCCGTCATCATCACTCCTTCGGTTTCATCGGCGTAGGATTCTTTTTCATGTCTTTGTTATATAGACCTAGACATTTATTATTTATTTTTTTTAGTTGGATGATTATTAAGGGTCCATGATATTCGGATTCCCGAGTTGTACTATGGAGGTTTATTTATTATTATGGAGGTTAGATGTTATTGATTTTATTCAGGGGATATTTATTATTTAGTTTCATTTCAGCAATATTATTTCTTTTATTATTTATCTTTTTGTATTCTGTGTTCGTTTTAAATATTAATTGTTTAATATCCCTTAGTTTTGGGTACGGACTTGACCAACCCGTGTCTCCAAAGGGGGTATCACACAGGTGGATTTGTTACTTTTGATGATGGTAATGCTTCTAAACCCAAATGATTCTAACCAGTCACGGGTAGTCCCTCATGAACAACTGTGACAACTTCTATGGTTGTTGCCATCATTAACCATCGGACTGAGGATTCCATTTACTATGGTTTGATCTTTTGCTATAGTTGCCTCTATATTATTTTTGGTCCCAATTATAGGCTGGGATCTTTGTTTTTGTTGTGCACAATTTTACTTGTACTACCCTTTGGGCACGATCTTCCTTATTTTGTTTGCCTACTGGGTTATGGGTTGTGCAATGCAACCACCACTACCAGCATTGCCACCGCCTTGCACCACTGCCACCTTCGCACTTTTTGTTGTTAACTTGAAATAATTGTTAAGGATAAAGGATATTATTGTTAAGAAAAAATAATCTAAAAGTTAAAATAAATTTAAGAAATATGCTCGCCAAACATCTTTTTCTTATGAATTCCTTCCAACAAAATTCATTTTAAGAAAACCTTATCAATGAAGGACTTTTGATACGAGATAGCTCCCCCAAACGAGGCATTAATTCTAGCTGTTTTTGGCGGCGTCAAAATGGTCAAAGTCTGAATTTCTCCTCGTATGATCAAAACATTCAAAGGACTTCTAGAGGACCTGTTTTGGACACTGGACGTAATTTGTGTTCTTGATGGGCTATTGGAATACCACCAAGGACTCAAACAACAGAAAATAAAGAAGAATAAATAGGAGCGAATGGCTCTGGTACCATGTTAGAATAGATGAATTATATATTCTATTAACTGAGTAATACAATAGTACAATGGGCTTTATATAAGAGAGGTCACGTGAGTAGGTGAGTGGAGAGGAAAAGTAAACCCTATACATTGTGATGCTATACATGGTAATGAGGGTAAGTTGAGACAACTGTAGAATACTGAAAACCCTAACCCTAGTGTACAATATAATCTAACACTAATAAACAAATTTTTATGTGTCAACATGATTAGAAGTGCTTTGAAATTTAAATTTTAAATTTTTTTTATTGAACACGATGAAGACACGTTTGGGACCTGACACAATAGTTTTGTAGTTATTTTTCTTCTAAGAATGTAATTGCAATTCAATTTCAAAATATATTATGATTATGAGTTAATTAGAATAATAATTTAAAATTTAAGAAAATTAAAATAACAAACTTCTATGTCTAAGTTCCAAATAAGTGATTTCATTTATTATAATAATGAATAAAATGAGTAAAATTTATCTTTTATATATAATCATATTTGATATTTTTATTTTTATTTTGATTGTCCTATTTGTTTTGAAATATCTTGTATTGTTATTGTTCCGTGCTTCCTAGGCAATGAGCAGTAAGAAAATCTCGTTTTGCGGTCAAATTTTAGTGGCTAATAATTGAGACGTATGCAAGTCTTGTGCAAGTCTACTTAATTAAATTTAAAATTATCAGTGGGGTAGTGAGTAGTTGGAAATTTTGTTTTAGTTCTTTTGGTTTTTTTTTTTTTTTGTTCGCTTTTGAGTAGCCAAATGGGACAGCCTTATGCAAGTCTTCTTAATTAAATTTAAAATAACAGATCAGACTTGTGCAAGAAAGTTCTCCAAGTCTTGTGCAAGTCTTCGCAATTTAACTTATTCATAACATCTTTTTATGAATGAACACCGGACTATGATGCAATATCCTACGTAATCAGTCTCTTGCATCATCCATCTTTGCCATATACAAAGTTCACAGTCGATATATATATATATATATATATATATATATATATATATCCATGATTTTATGTAAATTGGCTGTGAACTTGTGTGTATATATATATATATATACACACAAGTTCACAGCCAATTTACATAAAATCATGGAGAAGATTTGTTTCCTAGGCCAATAAGTGGGTGAATCCTCACCCTCCACATATCATCATCCAAAGCTTCCAACGGTTATCAATAGAATGATGACAAGTGTACCAATGGGAGTGACACTTGTCACACTTTTTCGGAAATTGCAAATAGGTCCCTCCACCAAATATCTTGCAAATTAAATTGCAAAATGATCCCTAAGACAAATATCCCAAGAAATTTTAATTACGAAAAACACCACATAAAAGAAGAATGTTTCCAAAAAAACTATACATCCATGCCCTTTACGCGAAAAGTAAACAAGTAGCACGCTTTTCTACAAAAGTGAAACTACGTATTTCATGAAAATCAAATACCATGGATGCATTGCAGAGCCGGGATCAAATCCGAGTACAAAAAGTGAGGGTATGTGAAAAGAAACGATAACCAGGAAAAAGACGAAAAAGAAAAATGTCAGAAAAACAAAATGTGAAGATGTCACGGTCCTCACAAGGATGTTACAACATCCAGAAAAATAATGTCGGAAACTATTTCCAACACTCAACACAACCAAAAGGAACAAACCCAAACTCGGAAAAGAAAAAAATAAAAATAAAAAAATTCAACGAAAAAGGAAAATTCGTAAAAATGGAAAAGAAAGGAAGGAAATGACCGGGTCATTACAGCAACTTATCGAAAAAATATATATATAGTGCTGGTGTAAAAAAAAAAAGTGTACAAGATAGAAAAAGAAAAAATATATATATTATTTAAGAATATAAATATTTGGGCCCATATTAAGTGTGTGTGTATTGGTTAGGGTTTACTAAACAAACGTGAATAAGGAGGAGAGAGAGAAATTGAGCGAAAAAATAAGTTATTTTAGGAGATAAACTTGATTAAATTTTAATTAAAAAGCGTGAATGATGATGAGGAGAGAAACAAAAAAGAATAATAAGAATAAGTTATTTTAGGAGATAAATTCTTTGGAATTAGTGTTTAATAATGTTAAAAAACAATTGCAATATAACTTATATAAATGAACTATAATATTTTGGGCCTTCTTATTGACTGGGGCCTTAGGTGGCCACCTAAGTCCCCTAAGACTCGAGCCGCCCCTGATGGCTATATACCCGAAGAGTTAGCTCATCTGCATCGATTGAAAGGAATCAATTTCAACCACAACAACTTAACCGCCACTACCAGCATTGCCACCGCCTTCCACCACTGTCGCCCTTCGCACTTTTTGTTGTTGACTTGAAATAATTGTTAAGGATAAAGGATATTATTGTTTAAAAAAAAAAAAAAAAAAAAAAAAAGTTAAAAGTAAATTTATGAAATGTGTTCGCCAAACATCTTTTTCTTATGAATTCCTTTCAACAAAATTCCTTTTCCGAAAGCATTATCAATGAAGGACTTTTGATATGAGATAGCTCCCCCAAACGAGGCTACATTCTAGTTGTTTCTGGCAGCGTCGGAATGGTTGAAGTCTGAATTTCACCTCATATGATCAAAACATAGAAAGGGCTTCTAGAGGACCTTGTTTTGGACACTGGACATAATTTGATTTCTTGATGAGCTATTGGAATACCACCAAGGAAAGAACAAAAAATAAAGAAGAAGAAATAGGAGCGGATGGCTCTGATACCGTGTTAGAATAGATGAACTATATATTCTATTGAGTGAGTAATACAATAGTACAATGGGCTTTATATAAGAGAGGTCCCGTGAGTAGGTGAGTGGAGAGAGAAAGTAAACCCTATACATTGTGATGCTATACATGGTACCGAGGGTTAGTTGAGACGACTGTAGAATAATGAAAACCCTAGCCCTAGTGTACAATATAATCTAACACTAATAAACAAATTATTACATGTCGACATGACTAGAAGTGGTTTGAAATTTAAATTTTGATTTTTTTTATTTATTGGACACGGTAAGGACACGTTTGGGACTTGCCACAATAGTTTTGTAGTTATTTTTCTTCTAAGAATGTGATTCCAATTCAATTTCAAAATATATTATGATTATAAGTTAATTAGAATAATAATATAAAATTTAAGAAAATTAAACTAACAAACTTCTATGTCTAAGTTTCGAATAAGTGATTTCATTTATTATAATATGAATAAAATGAGTAAAATTTATCTTTTATATATAATAATATTTGATATTTTTATTTTTATTGTCTATTTGTTTTGAAATATATTGTATTGTTATGTTCATATCACCTTGTACCAATTCCATGCTTCCTCGGCAATGAACAGTAAGAAAATCTCGTTTTGTGTTCAAATTTTAGTGGCTAAAAAAAAAAAAAAAAAATTAAAATTCTTGTGCAAGTCTACTTAATTAAATTTGAAATTATCAGTGGGGTAGTGAGTAGTTGGAAATTGTGTTTTAGTTCCTTTTTTTTTATTTTTTTTTTTTATTTTTTGAGTAGCCAGCCAAATGAGACTTATGCAAGTCTTCTTAACTAAATTTAAAATAACAGATCAGACTTGTGCAGGAAAGTCAAGTCTTCTTTAACTTAAAAAAAAAAAAAGAAAGTCAAGTCTTCGCAATTTAACTAATTCATGACCCCAAGCAATTATTGAATTTGTTATGTTACTGCTCAAGTCAATGCTTGACTTTATAGTTGAGAGTGTGGATAACAAATAACATCTTTTAATGAAGAACACCGGACTATGATTCAATATCCTATATAATCAATCTCTTGCATTATCCATCTTTGCTATATACAAAGTTCACAGTCGATAAATATATATATATATATATACACACACACACACACACACAAGTTCACAGCCAATTTACATAAAGTGATGGAGAAGATTTGTTTCCTTTTCTCTGTTTTAGTGTTGTTCAACTGTTCCACGATCGGCTTGGCTAAGACCAGAACTAGCTTGGCCACTGATCAATCTGCTCTCCTTTCCTTTAAAGCACACATCACTTTTGACCCTGAAAATGTATTGGCCAATAACTGGTTCACCACTAAACCAGTTTGCAATTGGATTGGTGTCACCTGTGGTCTCCTCCACCAGAGGGTCACAGCCTTAAGTCTCTCTAACATGGGCCTCACAGGCACCATCACTCCACATCTTGGAAACCTCTCATTCCTTACCTCATTCGACATTAGTTACAACAATTTCCATGGCTATATACCCAAAGAGTTGGCTCATCTGCATCGACTGAAAGAAATCAATTTCAACCACAACAACTTCAGCGGCGAGGTACCATCTTGGTTTGGGATCTTACCGGAACTTCGACACTTGCTCTTGCATAATAATAGTTTCACAGGTACCATCCCACTGTCGATATGCAACATTTCGACGTTACAAACGTTGAATATCAGCTACAATTCTCTGCATGGGAAAATTCCACAAGAGATTGGCAATCTTTCCAACTTGAAATTGTTAGGGTTGGGAGTTAATGAGCTCACAGGCTCCATACCATCCGTCATCTTTAATTTGTCTTCGTTGCAAAAAATTGATCTCGGACATAATGGCCTCTTTGATACTCTCCCAGTAGATATGTGCAGTCATCCAACCAAACTAGAAGAACTCCGTCTTCCTTATAATCAGCTTCACGGAAAAATTCAATCCAATTTATATAAATGCAGGGAGCTTCAATATCTATCATTGGCTGTCAACGACTTTAGTGGCGCCATACCTGGAGAAATTGGCAAACTCACTATGCTCAAGGAGTTGTATCTTGGTTGGAACAGTTTTGCAGGTATGATTTCACCTTCATGGCTCCTAACTCAAGGTTTAACTTTTTGAATTATACCCTATGCAAAAAGGGCAAAAATAAAAAATAAAAAAACTGTGAACAAAATTAAATAAATACTATATAACATGTAAGATTGAAAATTACTAAACTTCTATAACTGCTTTTCGATCCTTGTCAAGTTTCCAATGATATCATGCAGAATATATTATATATATATAGCATAACGGAAAAGGTAATTACTTCTTGGTATAGTAAAAATTATGTCAAAGTTTATGTTTGCCTCTAATCTTCTCTCCCACATTCCTACATAACTAAACCAATTCTGGACTTGTACATGAGACATATTCTCCATTGTTGGTTTCTTTCGTTAAAAGCTTAAACAAAGCAATTGATATTTTTGTTTGTTATCAAATCCTGATTAGTTTTGAGAGGTTTTAGGTTCAAGTGTCTTCTAAAGTTTTGTCAATTTGCACTAACCATCTCTCTTGCTTGTCAAATTACACTAACCTCCCTTGCTAGAGTTGTCGGATGGATTACATTCATAATTCCCATGAAATTATATATATATTATTTAGGGTAAATTACACGGACCTCCCCTATAGTTTGCCATAATTACAAGGACCTCCCTCATGGTTTAAAATTTTACTCTGACCTCCCCTAAAAAGAAAACCTTGGACCTCCCTTATCAGCGACGGACTGTCAATTCGCGTAACGATTGGTACGATTTTACTAAAATACCCTTACTAGGTACAATTTTACTAAAATACCCTTACTAGGATTTAATTTTTGAAATTTCTTTCATGTCTCTCTCTCTTTCTCTTTCTAAACAAAACCCAATCCTCAGTTCTTTGAATCTGCCAATAACAAGATTAAATTGATCTAATATTGAAGAAGGAAAAAGAAAAAAAGAAAAGAAAATGAAAGAAACAAAGAAGGTTGGCGATAAGATATTTTTATGTATATATCCAATTATACCATCATCAGCCCACCATCTATCAAATAATCCTTCCATGGAACCAAAAAAAAAAAAAATTCTTAACATCTCCAAGCAAATGTAACTGAATGAAGGGATTTAAGGGATCTATTTTATTTGGAAAATATATGGAAAGATTTTAATGAAGAAATTTTAGGAGTAAAGAAAGGTTGATCTAGGTCTTCTTAGTTGTCATATATATATTATCAAACACCTTCTATTATTATGTTTCTCTCTCACACATAGACAGATACATATATACATACACTAGAGTTTCTTGTATACCATTCTTTAAATCAACCCCATCCAAACACGGACCTTTGCAAATTGGATGCGACATATTTGGATGGATCTGAAGTTGCTTCAAGTTTGAGAACTGCCTTCTGTTGTCCTTAGTTGATCTCGATGGGTGTGGGTGATTCAAACCCGAAGTAGGGGAAAAGCAACAAAATGGAGAGAGTCCTAATACTCAAGAAGAAACAAAGCATAATTGGGTATATATACATATACTGATATTTTTTAATTACATTTGAGGATAACCTTGGTATTTGTGTAGATCACAGTCATTTATTAAGGTTAAAAGGATCATTGTATTAGATTAAGGGTAGTCTTGGTATTTAATCAATTAAGTTTCACGATGTCAACTACTTTTGGCATTGACTGACCATTGACTGTTAAAAAGGGAGGTCCTTGGAGGTCGGAGTAATTTTTGAAGTCATAGGGGAAGTCCCTGTAATTATGACAAACTATAGGGGAGGTCCATGTAATTTATCTTATTATTTATAGCAATAAACATACTTTTTGAAAAGACCAAAATGCCCATTGTCAAATCAACTTTACTTTTCACTTAACACTATTAAACCTCCCATTTACTTATTCTATTGTACCAACACCATTTGCTTCTCTCATTGTACCCCCCTCTGCTTTCTTCTTCAACTTGGTTTCCATAACATCATGTCCCCTCTCTCTCTCCTTTTCTAGCTTTCTCTCTATATTTATATATCTATTATCTCTCACTCCAAAAACCCAGATTTTGAAAATTGTTTTTTGAGATTTTTCTTGCCTCCAATGGATCAGCCAATCAATCCCAGTAATCAAGCACTTTATTCTTTAGGTTGTCCAAATCTGCTCTGCTTAAAAAGAAAATTTGATGTCTCCACCTTCTGAAAAAGATTCAATGTCTCTGCCACAAGAACGGCGAGGTATAGTAGTATTGTTGTACTGTTATTTTGTAGTTTAGTAGTTGTTATTAGTTGTTGTTGTTGTTGATTATTATTACTATTAATTTATTTATTTATTTGCATCACCACCATCAACATGTAAAAAGATTTAGTCTAAGCATATACTGTGTATGCACAATAAGAAAAACAAGGGCTACCCTAATATGTTGTGATGTTCACTTGATTCCATATGACATGACAAGCTGACCTCAATGATGAAATGAAGGGGAAAATATATATATATAAAATAGTTTTGAGGCTTTTGCAGAGTTGTAAATTAAAAGAGAGAAAGATAAGAAGGAGACAGAACCCAACTTGCAGAGGGAGAGTGAGGGAATCCAACTTGGAGACCCAAAAGCACATGGCTTCAGTATCTAACAATGCAACAGCAACCGTAAAATCATTTTTTACGTTGGAGGGTAATGTGTAATTCTATTTGAATAAATGGGGTCACATATGTCACCATCTTGGAACTTCGAACAAAAAAAAGTATGCTTATCATCATCTGTAATTCTGTACACAAGCTATTATATTCATTAAAGAACGTAAATTTATGTAACAGGTAAAAATTATACATAGCTTCTGATGACAACTTAATTGCAGGTGTAATTCCATCAGAACTGGGTAATCTTACCCGTTTGGAACAGTTGAGCTTACAAAATGGCTCTCTAACTGGACCCATTCCATCTTCTATCTTCAACAATTCATCTTTGAGATTTATTGATTTGTCAAACAATGGCCTATCTGGAAGCCTCCAACTGAACATCCGTTACCATTCCCCAGTTCTTGAATCCCTAATTCTTACTCACAATCAGCTAAGTGGTCAAATTCCGTCCGACTTGTGGAAATGCAAAGGGCTTCAAAGTTTGTCATTGGCATTCAATAGTTTCACCGGTGGCATATCTAAGAATATTGGGAACCTTACTTCGCTCCAATATCTATGGCTCTCTGGCAACAACTTCACAGGTATGTGTCCTATTATTCCACGTTTACCTATGACTAGTCTATGTGAGGAAAGAAATATTTTATATTAATAAACAAATTTTTATCTAAAGAAAAGAATTCAAAAAACATAAATTAGAAATTCACAATAGATATATATATATATCAATTCACTTTATCAATTTAAAATGTTAAAGATTTTGAAGAATCAAAAATTAAAATTAACCTTTAATTACACTTTTAATGGAACACATTAATGTAAATTCTTTTAATCAATGCAAAAACCAAGACGGCTATTACCTGAAGTGTAATTTAAAATGTTAAAGAATTTGAATCAAAAACTGAAATTAAACTTCAATTACACTTTTAATGACGATAAAAATTAATGTAAATTCTTTTAATCAATGCAAAAACCTTATTTTTTGAAATCCTTGAGACAGGAGTTATGAAGATGAACCATCAGCTAATTAATAATTGTATGTGTGTATATTAATGGAAGAAATAAACATTTATCAAATGGTTCTGCAACTTTAAGTGTTTTAATGAATTATATATATATATATAAAATAATAAAAAAAATAAATAATTTGTTAAGAAATAAAGAAAGGGCTTACTTATCAAAAATAAATAAATAGAGAAAGGGCTATACACTTTTTAGAATAGTATATAGATAAAATGAGGATCACAATCTAATGAATATAAATAGTCTTAGTGTTTGATGAATAACATAAAGGTGTTGGTGTTAATACTGTGGCAGGTACATTGCCTGATGAGATTGGTAACCTTAATCTGGAGGTAATCCTTGCCAACAAAAACAGCCTAAATGGCCCCATTCCTTTCAAAATGTTCAATGTGTCAACAGTGACATTCATTGACCTGGGAGATAATGAATTCTCAGGCTATCTTCCTTCCAACATGGGGCTTTTGCTTCCCAATCTTGAAGTACTTTATTTGGCCAGCAATAAAATAGGGGGAATGATCCCCAGTTCCATCTCTAATGCTTCTAAGCTTGCTGACCTGGACATGGGCATCAACTCATTCATTGGCTCTATACCCAACACACTTGGCAATTTAAGACTACTGCAGTCTCTCCTACTTTCGGAAAACAATTTTACCAGGGAATCTTCTACTCCGGAATTAGGATTCTTTTCTTCTCTAACAAGTTGCCAGAATTTACAGATGTTAGACTTGTCATTAAATCCGCTAAATGGCATACTCCCAAGTTCTTTGGGGAATTTGTCTACATTTCTTCAGGTATTTGCAGCATTTGAATGCAAAATCAAGGGCAACATCCCCAGTGGAATTGGCAACTTAAGTAACTTGCAGGTCATAAACTTGCAAAGCAACGAGTTAAGTGGAGTAATCCCAAGAACACTCAAAAGGTTAGAAAACCTTGACCGTTTGTATCTTCAGCAAAATAAACTGCAGGGACATATCCCAGAAGAGCTTTGCCAGTTAAGAAAGTTGGGAGACTTATTTGTAAGTGATAATAATCTCTATGGACCTATACCTCCATGCTTGGGTGAGCTTAAATCTCTAAGAAGGGTCTTCCTTAACTCCAACAAATTGAATTCCACAATTCCATTAAACTTATGGAGCCTTGAAGATCTGTTAGGTCTAAACCTATCTTCAAACTATCTGAGAGGTTATATACCATTAGATATAGGAAAATTGAAGGTCATAATAGAATTAGACTTGTCATGGAATCAGTTATCAGGTGGCATCCCAAACACCATTGGAGGCGCTCAATCTTTAGTTTCTCTCTCCTTGGCTCACAATAAATTTCAAGGTCCCATTCCTCAATCACTGGGAAACTTGATAAGCTTGGAATTCTTGGATCTATCAAAAAACAATTTGTCTGGAGCGATTCCCAAGTCCTTAGAAACCCTCAGGTATCTCCGGTATTTGAATGTGTCTTTCAATAAATTGGGAGGAGAAATTCCTACTGGTGGACATTTCCCGAATTTCACAGCTCAATCATTTTTGCATAATGATGCACTTTGTGGTGAATCCCACCTGCAAGTCCCACCATGCAAAACCAACACTCACCGACAATCAAAGTCGAAAAATGTGCCGCTGTTGAAATATATTCTACCCCCTATTGCATTAGCAGTTGCTGTTGTGGCCCTCATATTTGTGACGATAGGAAGTCAAAAGCAAAAGGGTAAATTACAGATTCAGGCTGATTTATCACCTCTTGAATGGAGAAGGGTTTCATATCAGGAACTTGTACGAGCAACAGAAGCATTTAGTGAAACCAATCTAATCGGCAGGGGGGGCTTTGGTTCAGTATATAAAGGAAGACTTTCAGATGGAATTGATATTGCAGTAAAGGTTTTCAATTTGCAATTAGAAGGAGCTCTCAAGAGTTTCGACGTTGAATGTGAAGTAATGCGCAACATCCGCCATCGAAATCTTATTAAAATAATCAGCAGTTGCACTAACATAGATTTCAAAGCCTTGGTACTAGAGTACATGCCTAATGGGAGTCTCGAGAAATGGCTATATTCACACAACTATTGCTTGGATATCCTACAACGGTTAAACATAATGACAGATGTTGCGACAGCGTTGGAGTATCTACATCATGGTCATACAACACCCATTGTTCATTGTGATTTGAAACCCAGCAATGTTTTGCTTGATGAGGATATGATTGCACATGTTGGTGATTTCGGAATTTCTAAACTCTTAGGTGAAGGGGATTTTATGGCCCAAACCATGACCTTGGCAACAGTAGGGTATATGGCACCAGGTGATGTTCCACATTTGTTACTTTAGCTTGTGTTCAAGTATTCTCTGCTCATTTTTAAACTAAACATGTTATGATCTTTTCCTGATAGAATTATGTTTCATTGTTTGATATTGTTTTATAATGGATGTTAATGTTGTGCATAGAATATGGAAATGGAGGAATAATATCTACAAGAGGCGATGTCTATAGTTACGGTATCATGTTGATGGAAACATTCACAAGGAAGAAGCCGACTGATGAAATTTTTGCTGGAGAGATGAACTTGAAGCTTTGGGTGAATGACGCATTAAAGGATAGTTCGTTAATTGCAGTTGCAGACACAAATTTGATGGGAAGAAAAGATGAACATTTATCAGAGAAGGAGCAATGTGTATCAGCTATCTTGGGTTTGGCGATGGAATGTTCAAAGGATTCACCCGAGGAGAGGATCGACATGAATGAAGCATCGGTTAGACTCAAGAAAATTAAAGCTTCCTTTCTAGCAAATATTGGAAGGGCTTGAAAGAAAATTCTATCAAGATTAAGACGTCTAATTTTATTGGTATTTTGTACCTCTCACATATTCTTAATCTCCAAACTTTTTATATCGAAAAGGAATTATTTTTCTTAAAACAAGCATATAATTGTTGCTTAGTCTATGGTTATGGTTGCCTAAACAAGAGCTCTCATGGACACCAGTAAGTGTCCAGGAAAATAAGGCCACATTTTAAATGTACACCTTTATATTTTTTACTGTCCCAAAATAATTGTCCCAATTGAAAACACAATGACTGTCTTTTTTGTAACATTCCTGATTTACCCATCTTGCATCGATGTTATAAAAATAATTAAAGTCTAAAACAAAGGACCCACCACAGAATAAAAAACAAAATTTAGAAGGGTATATTTGGAATTTCATACTACCATTATAATAAAAAAAACATTAAAAACTATAATCTTAAAATATTAAGTTCCTAAAAAGGGACACTTAAAATGGGAGGGAGGTCCATGTAATAAATGAGCATGGTTTTCATTACTCTCTTCTCATGTCACGTATCTCTATATGACTTTTATCTTGACAAATTCAATCGAAGAACTTTTGGATTGTATAATATCTCTTAAGCATTCAATTAAGCAAGAGTAAGCAAGTTTTTAAACATGGATGTGGCAGAGCTATATGATTAACTGATTATGAATATACTAGCAAATAGAATCATGTACACTTCTGAAATTAATTCAATAAACCTATATTTCATTGACATTAAAAAAGAAAAGGGAAAAAAATAATAAAAAAAGACTCACTTCTTAGTTCTTAAATATTTGATTTTCCAGAAAGTGGGTTTCACCGATAAATATTTTGAAAGGTGGTCAAGAAGTCATACTTTAACTTTTCAGGGCTCCAATAAATTTAATAAGAGGACAAGGATGCACTTTTTGATAAAATTTCATATTAGTTCTATAATTTCAAAATTTCCGGTCATTCTTGACATAAATATTTTATTTTCTGTTTCTGTTTCATTAGTGGTCTTCTTTTTTTCTTTCATCCAGAGCATCTATAGGTCCTCACATTTGTGTTTGATATCTCTATTTTATTACTTAGAAACTTGTATTACAGTAAAGAACCCTACAATATGTTACATGAACTCGGGTATGTGTGTCGGACACGGGTATGTATTCATATATCTGATATATCAAATCTCCAGATAGAAGGACACAAAAACCCGGCTAAATATTCATTTTATTAAATTATTTTATTTTATTTTATAGAGTAAAGTAATTTTTTTATCTAATATAATATTCAATATAGGCATTTAACTCATTTTAAAGTAATAACATAATATAATTAAATGATTGGATGTGTTTTTTAAGTACATATCCAACTAAAAATGCCGGATACATATCCCGCACCCATATCCGAGCAATATGTGTCCAACACGGGTACTTCACCACTATTGAAGTGTCCATGTAACATAGCGTACAATATTTCATTTATCATAAACTTTACACCTTTAATTAAATATATATTTGAATATACATTTAAAATTATATATAATTACAAATATTAAATATATAATTAAATTTAAGGTTTAAGTTATTATATTATATATATAATATCAACATATCTCAAGTATAAAATTTATGAATTTTGCTAACATACAAATATAAATTACTTGTATTTGAACTTTAAATTTACAAATATCTAATTCATGTTTTACGAAATATAGTTAAACATACATTTCAACATTAATTATTGATATCATTTTTTATAGACTAATTAATACAAAATTAAAAATTGCATATTAATTTTGCTAAATTCATTCAAGGGAGGTGATATCCGCACTCCACTTTTCAACGTTTGTACTACAATTATTAAATGAAATGACAATTCTAACTCTAACTTTACAAGTAAATAATTATTACTTTTTAAATGACAAAACTGTGCTTTTAAATTTCCTCTCTTTATCTCTAATCTTTTTAAATTTCCTCTCTTTATCTCTGATCTTTATTATTTTAGGTCTCTTTTGACAAGACAAAAAATTATTTGAATAATTGAATAAAAAAAAAATTTACGGACCAAGAAATAAAAATTTATGCTAAATAAATTGACTCTTTTGACCGGACCAAAAAAATAAAAAGTAACCATTAAAAAAATTATCTCTTTTGACATAAAAAAAAAAAAAAAAAAAAAAAAAAAAAAAAAAAAAAATCCGAAAAAAAATATTTATCGAAGAAATTATTTTTTTTGTCAAGATCCCCAAAAGAAAATAAAAAATAAAAAATAAAAAAGTATGAAAAGAAGATGTTTAAATTTTTTTTTTTTTTATCTATATTGAATAAATTTTCTGTTTTGATAAAACCCCAAAAAAAAAAAGAGGTTATTTTTATGTAATAAATTATTTCTTTTGACAGAACCCATAACATATTAAAAAAAAAAAAAAAGTTACCTCTTTTGACTGAAAAGAGTTAACTTTGTTGAATAAATATCACTTTCAATTGTACAAAAAAAAAAAAAAAAATCATTACGGAATAAATTATTTCTTTTGACTGTCAAAAATTAAATTATTAGTATGGAATAAATTATTTTTTTTTTTTAGAGAACCTCTGGAAAAAACAAATAGAAAGGCAAAAAAAATAGTAAAGTAAAAAAAAAAAAAAAAAAAAAAAAAAAAAAAAAAAAAAAAGTAACACAAGGGCCAAAGGGCGCCTTGGACCTTCAAAGAGGCCAAAAATACAATAATCTCCTCCATAAATTTATAATCTCTCCCTGAGACCCAACAAAAAAGAGTGGAAATAATAGAGAACCTAAGCATAGAAATATGTTTCTTTTTTCCATCAAAATATCTCCTATTTCTCTCGAGCCAAATACACCACCAAATACAAAGAGGCGTAGCCCTCCAAGCATTCTAAATGAGAGCCCCAACAGAGACACCTCTCCAAGCCTCGATCAACCCTCTAGAGGAATAAGGCATAACCCAATGGACCCCAAATAATCCAAGCATCAAATGCCAACAGTGTCTAGCCATACTACAATGTAAAAGAAGGTGATCAACTGTCTCCTCATCACATAAGCACATATATCAATGATTGACCACCACCTGATTCCTCCTCCTCAAATTATCCTGGGTTAAAATCTTACCCAGGACGGAAGTCCAAGCAAAGAAGGCAACCTTGAAGGGAGCCTTAGAACGCCAAATAGACTTCCAGGAGAAAGGGTCTCCGGAAACAACCGAAAGGCACTTGAAAAAAGACCTAACCTCAAAACGACCCTGTGAGTTAGGATCCCAGAACCAACAATCCGACTCCCCATCAGTGATCACCTAGCTATAAAGAACCTCCAAAAAACGAAAAACATCCTCAATCTCCCAGTCCTGAAAGTGCCTCCTAAACTGAACATCCCAAGTCAGTCTCCCATTATCAAGGTGATAACAGTCAACCACCATGGCCTGTCGGTGAGAAGCAATCCTATAGAGCAGTGGGAAAGCGAGACCAAGAGGAAGCTCCCCACACCAAAGATCCTTCCAAAAACTATCCTCCTACATCTTTGATCCGAAAATGAACATGCTTGCAGAAATTATCCCAACCCCTCCGAATGTAAGTCCAAACCCCCACCCCCCTAGGACCACGCATCTCAAGAGAACACCACCTACCACTGCTTTCCCCAAACTTGCTCGCGATAACTCTCTTCCAAAGCCAATGCCTCTCAATCCCAAACCTCTAGAGCCATTTACCAAGGAGAGCCTTATTGAAAGGCAACAACCTCCTTAACCCTAAGCCTCCACTCCGAATTAGACGGCACACATGCTCCCCCCAAACGCCACCCCCCCAAAAGAAAGTTACACTGCAATCTCTCAATTCTGTCAACCACTGAAGAAGGAATCTGAAAGAGAGAGATGAAATAAGTGGGGAGGCTAGAGAGGGTGCTCTTGATCAGAGTAATCCAACCCCCTTGGAAAGGTACTGCTTTTTCCAACCCGCCAACCTCCTCTCGAATCTATCCACAACCGGATCCCAGCTCCCCACACATCTCGAAGGGGCTCCCAAAGGCAACCCTAAGTAAGAAATGGGAAAAGAACCAATGCAACATCCAAGGATCTGAGCAAACATATCAATCTCAGGAACATCCCCAACAGGCACAAGAAGGCTCTTGCCAACATTCACCTTAAGACCAGAAACAACTTGGAACCAAATCAAAACGCATCTCAAATATCTCAACTGGGACGCCTCCGCATCACAAAGTACTAAAGTATCATCCGCAAACATCAAATGAGAAATCTCCAATTGACTAGCAACATCCCTGTCCACCCGAAAACCTCTCAAAAAACCCAACTCCACAGCCCTCTTCAGCAATTTGCTAAGAGCCTCCATCACAAAAAGGAACAAGAAAGGAGAAAGCGGATCCCTTTGTCTCAAGCCCCTCGAGCTAGAGAAAAAACCCGTCGGAGCTCCATTCACAAGGACAGAGAACCGAGCGCTAGATATACAGAAAAGAATCCATCTCCTCCAACGCTCACCAAACCCCATCCTCTCCAATAAGTAGAGAAGGAAGCTCCAACTCACATGGTCATACGTCTTCTCAATCTCCAACTTACATAAAACATCCAGAATGCCGCTACTCAAACGGGAATCCACACATTCACTAGCAATAAAAACTGAATCCAAAATCTAACGACCTCCCACAAAGGCATTCTGAGAGTCAGAAATGACGCCATCCATAACCTTCCTTAATCTAAAGGCCAAGACTTTCGCAATCAACTTGTCAAAACATCCCACCAGACTAGTAGGGAGAAAATCCCCAACATCCATTGCCTTACCCTTCTTCGGAATAAGAGCAATAAAAGTGGCATTTAAACTTTTCTCAAAAGAGCCCTGAACATGGAAGGCGTGAAAAGAGCCCATCACTTCCTCACGAACCACCTCCCAACACTCCAAAAGGAATCCATAGAAAAACCACCAAGACCAGGGGCTTTATCCCTATTACAGCTCTTCAAAGCAGAAAAAACTTCCTCTTCTAAAAATGGCTCTTCCAAAACAGAGCACTCCTCACCCGAAATAGAGTCAAAGTGAAGCCCATCAAGCAAAGGACACCAACCAGCTGGTTCAGTGAACAACTTCGAAAAGTAATCAGAAAAACCCTT